TCTCTATATTGTTGATGCTCTCTAAAGACGCTAGAAATTGATGCCACTCGCGATATTCTTCATCTGGTAAAGAGTCATTCCAGTCCATTTTAATTCTCCACAAACGCTGAAGGAAAATCTTTGCCTTTGCCATTACCGGTGCCAATAGACCAATCGGGTCGAAGAGCTTGGCAATAGTGGACAAAACGTCGCGTTTTGTGTAAGAATTCTCCAAGCAAACCCTTACTTTGAATATAAAAAAAACAATTTAAAATTGGTTTCCGGGATACACCTAAAGTTTTTGTCTCTATTAACGTTGCAAAATTATAATCACATTCAGATTCTGGTGCTAGTTTCACGTGATTGGCGCAGAGATTGTGTAGTGTCATGTCAACACTTTGCAAAATCCCTTTCGCACAAACAGTCATCCATACAAAAATTATTTTGTAAGACGGGAGCAGCCATGGGGAAATTGGTTTGTTCGTCAACTGAGAGCTGTTTAAGCGTTCTTTGCGCTAAGTAAGGTGCGCTTACAGTGCCGTATGTAACGGTAGATAGTTCGTATATTTTTGGCGGTTCATCTTCATTTTCACACCAAACGATTCTCTGAAGATTACACTGATTTGGATTGATTAAAATAGTTCGATACATCATTTTGATATCAGCAGTAAAGGCATATGCATATGTGCGGAGCCTTAGCATTTGAGTATATAAGTCCTCCTGAATCACTCCTCCATTATTCTGAATATCATTAAGAGATATTCCCTTATCAGTTACTGAAGAACAATTAAATACAACACGAAGTTTTGTCGTGGACTTTTCTGGACGATAAATTCCATGATGTGTAGCATAATATGTTACTTCTGGTTCAATTTCCTTAGTAACCTCTCTCATGTGTCCCAGTTTTTCATATTCTTTTAAGAAATCACGATATAAATTTAAATAAATTTCATCTTTAGCTAAGCGATTCCACAGCGATCTGAGACGTTTGAGGGCTGTATCTTTTGAGTTTCCTAAGCATGAGGGATCTTTCTTTAGTGGCATTGAAACAACATATTTCCCTTCCCTAGTTCTAAAATCAGTATCCGCAAAGTGTTTCCCGCTAATTAAATTTTCTTTACTCTTTGTTATTGTTTCCTCGACATTTTCTATTTGCCAGAATTTTTCTAGTGTTTTATTTAAGTCCTCATCACGAAACAAACCGCAGTGAACCTTTGGTTCATTTATTGAATCCAAATTTCCGGTCACTACATACCCAAATACGCTATTGACCAAAAGCAATTGCGAATTTTTTATTTTAATTCTTTCCGACTTTATCAACTCGTAAAATATATTTGCACCCAATAATAAATCTATTTTTCCCGGAATATTAAAAGTGTCATCTGCTAATCCCACGAGATTTGAAAAATCGACATTTATATTTAAATCTTTATTCGGAATAAATTCTGTGATTTTTTTAACTATGAGCATATCTAATTCTCTTTCAAATGATTTGTTTTTATTTGAAATCGCTACTTTAACACACCCATTTACCATCATAGAAGCATCGTTTAAACAAGAAATCAATGTATTTATTTTTTCACTCTTAAGTTGCAATTTATTAGCACATTCATTTGAAATCAGACAGGTTTCACTACCAGAATCCAGTAACGCTCTACACATCTGCCATTCCGAATATTTATCCTTTACGAGGATTAATGCACTACTTAATAAGCATTTGTTTTTAAAACACGCGGTCGCCACAATTTGTGTAGTGTCTACTCTCGGAACGAATGATTTAGCACTTACTACATTAAACGTGGTTGCTTGTGATTTATTTTGATCGTTAATTGGCG